CTTTTTGTTTGTATGGGTCTAAGTTATGTTTTTGTGTCTCTTGGGTATAATCCAAAATGATAGGAGTACCATTACAATTTCAGTGGAAGAATTATTATTAACGAAACCTATAGCAATCAGTTTATAAACAAAACGAAGACGCTTCAGACGCTAATGTTGCTATCGTCGACTTGATCAAACCAAAAATTTCCATCTCCCTTCCTGAAAACACAATTCTCATTTTCTTCTTTATAAATTCTGTGAAAATGATGATCAAGAAAAGAAAAGTCTCCCACGTTCCGTATGGTAATGTTCAAGGTTGATTGTATGGTGTTTGTAGAAAGGGAGAGATGGTTGGCATCCTCTGACTAGAGACAGATTGACCTTCGGGTCTTTACCCTAGATAGATCCAACCAAAGTTCTAGTTAACATTTACCAAAAAAAATTATAAAAAAAACATTACCAAAAAGGGTTTGATTATATGGTTTGTATAGTTTAATTACTATGTTCGCTTGGTTAATAATAGTCTACTGAATCATCACAAACGCATATTGTGAATAGTCTAGTAGCGGTCTAATTAAAAGAACAAATCATTAATTTGCCAATTGTTTTTAAATTGATAGCATGATAATAGTCTAAACTCTACGAAAAAAAAGAAAGATTTTTTTTTTCGATAAAGAGAAACAAACAGGGATGGAAAGGAAAACAACAAAGTAATCGATATTTAATCTATATATATATAATAGAGTTTTCTCCCTCCTGCAGGTGCCACGTCATTAATTCAGTGAACATGGGCGTGACACGTGTCCATGGCTCTAAAACTCAGCGTTTCACGCCTTTCAAAATAGAACCGGGCTTCATTTGGTTATTGGGCCTTTGGCCGTATTACAAAACGGCGACAGATTTCCCACACCCCTCTGATGGANAATCTATATATATATAATAGAGTTTTCTCCCTCCTGCAGGTGCCACGTCATTAATTCAGTGAACATGGGCGTGACACGTGTCCATGGCTCTAAAACTCAGCGTTTCACGCCTTTCAAAATAGAACCGGGCTTCATTTGGTTATTGGGCCTTTGGCCGTATTACAAAACGGCGACAGATTTCCCACACCCCTCTGATGGAGAAATTAGGGTTCATATTCTGCAGGAATTCTTCACCTACAAATAATGTTTTTTTTGTAAACTACCTACAAATAATGTTACTGGCTTCGAAACTCATCAATCAAACCATAGGTACTAAAACTGTTGACGCGCAACTGCTTCGGTTCTGGGAGGTGCGTAACATGTGAAAAGGAAGAGGGCTCATCGGAGTAGACATGCTCTTCATATGGCTACAGGTAACTCTGGCGAAGATACACCTTTTTCTGATTTTAAGCTGAATTGCTTCCGCAGAAATCTTAATTTTGTATTGATTTGACCGATTCTTATTAAGGTTCCATCAACGCTAACCACCTGAGCACTTTTATACAGCTGTTACATGAAGGTTCACAGAGCAACAATAACTTCGAACTCTCCCACTTCCCCCTCTCCATACGCTTCTATGAG